TTCGTTGCTTCATAGGAGGTGTAGAGATTACACGCGTCGCTTCTTTGGCTCCTTTGTGGCTGTTCGACTGCGCTCCTTCGACGACTTTCCCTTCCTGTCGGATCATAAGTTACGACATTTTGATAAGAAGAAACAACGGGAGCTCGTTGGCTTTGAAGGTAACTTTCTCCCTTTCGAGGCGCTGCCTCGATGCGCCTCGGCGCCTCACGTATTGAGGCGTACGCCTCCGTGGAAAAAGGCGTAAGCCTCGCCCGGACGTTCGAGGCTTAAGCCTCAGTTCGTCCGACCTCCGCCTCGATTCGAGGCGCGCCTCGAGGCGTCTTCCTCGAACGCCTTTTTAATCGATGCTCAGCTCAATAATTAGCTCAAGTTCAATTCGTTTTACAAGCTTTTTTAAGTAATGAAACGTACATGAATATGGCCTGAATTGATCATGTTCCAATCAAAATATCTTAATCATCTTTATATATAAAAAATGTACATATATCATATATGTGAGATTTCATACATCATTATATTTGTTTGAGTGCAGGCACATACACACATACCCATGCACATGCTCACACTCACATAAACACGCATGCACACACACACGCACACATACATAGATGCACACACACATTCACAAACTCAAATTGGCTTAGTTCAATCATGTTCCACTTCATAATATATTAATCATATTTATACATATACAAATAATGAGCAAATAGCACATATATGTTAGTGCATGTATCATTGTATTTGTTTGAGGACATTCAAGTCACATATACGCAAGTGTGCACATATACAAACTCATTCCTAAACTTGCATGTGTGCATGCGCATGCGGTGTATGTGTCTCTATAATACGTAAGAAGATTAAATTGGCCTTGATGCACTCAAAGAGCTTTCTATCAAATTGATAAGCAAAAACCCTACACACGAATAGTTGAATTGGTTACCTAATGAACCAAGCCTAACAAATCTTCAGATTGTTCAAGCCTCGCATGAAAAATGATATGCAACTCAAATCACAACAAGTCAAAGAAACAGCAGATAAGGATTCTGGAACCACAATGCAGTGATAATTCATTACTTTTTAAGTATTGTAAGAGCATCAAAGGAGAAGCACTTAAATTTTTAAGGCAGAATCCTAATTATGTTCAGTTTCAGAAAATGCAATACATTTCTATTTCTTATTCTAAATACATTTCTATTTCTAGTTTACCAATCATAACAATGAAACCATTAAATAAAGCTCCCTGCCCCAAAAACCGCGTACCTGCAGGCACATTGCAGCTTCGAGAGTGTTTCGGATGCAGGTCAGATACAAGCGAAGGTTGTTTGCCTAGAAAATAAACCCAAACCAAGTTATCTTAGTAATCTAGGGCACAAACGCAAACAACAATTCCAACAGAAACATGAAATTAAGAGAAAAAAAAAAGACAATTAAGAACAAATGCGGATCTTCTTTATTACTGGTTCACATTTGATGGATACAAGATGACAAGATACCTCATTTCAAACTCGTATCAAAGAGAAAAGGGTGTACAAGATCAAAGAAGAAGAACAAAAAAAAAAGAACTTCAGATTCTTAGAAGGATCAGCAAAAAAACTTCTCTTTTGTTTTTGTTTTAGGAGTGAAAGGGGTATACCAACATTTGGGAGCAAGGAGTAGTTAAAAGATTAAGAAAATTCTTGATTTGGAATGATCGCATACCATGAGGGCGGAGCTGCAGTTCGTCCGCCGGCCTCCGTTGAAGCGAACTCGCGATGTAGAATGTACTTTTTTAGGTAATAAAATACGAAGAATTTAAAAGTAAAATCTAGATTATAGTTGAAGTATTGCCGCTGAAATTTAACTTTTTTTATATTTATATATATTATTATAGTTTATTTTTAATGTTTAAATAATACTAAAACAATAATATCAAAATATTTTATTTAAATAAAAATTTAAGAAATTTATTATAAAATTTTGGATGCAATTCATTGATCATCAAGCCACCTTAAAATAATTGAAATCATATATAAAATTAGTTTTAATGATTTTAACTTGCGTTTTAACATTTTAACATTAAAATCCATTGAAGAGATGTATAATTCTCCTTCTAAGAAAAGAAAATTTCATCTGTGTATGATCAATATAACTATAGAGCATAATAATATAACCATTGTAATGGCCCAAGATCTAAACTTGGAATAATTATATATTTTATTTCTTAACTAGTTTGTTAGGGTCTCTAAATATTCATCAATATAAATATATCTAATGAAAACAACTATAAATCATATACGCCAAAATATTTATGTATTCATTCTCTCAAAATTTGATTTATAAAAGTCAGGAGATCAAATCAATCATAAATATATCCCTTTTAAAATCTCTAACTACAAAAGAATAAACTAAAATATGTAAATAAAATAAAATCTAAAAATACTGATTAGCCTAACTCCAAAGGGTCATGACCCCTAAAAATCACATAATGAGCACATATCCTGGTAAGCAATCAAAATTTATAACTGCATTCAATGCAAGATAAAAGAATCAATATACATGCTCAAATTTCGATTAATATTAATTATTATACTATCACTATGAATAGTAAATAATCTATGAAATCAATATGCTTCAAAAGTAAAAAAATCAATATAATTAGTAAAACTGAAATAAGCAAAATGAGCCTAACTATCTATAAAAAAATTTGATAAAAGATTAAATCAATAATATGTGTTATGCAGTAAAACAAATATCAAATATTTATCAATTATATTCATGTTGATAGTTATATTATATGCTTCTATTAATCCTTATATCAGTCTATCAATATACCATATCAGCATGTTATTTTAATATATTTATCAATACATTATACATGTGTAACTATTAATGTTTAATCATATATCTATCATATATTATGTCATGTTATATCAGTATCAATGCATCTATCAGTCAAATCTATGTCATCATGTAATACAAATATATATACGAATGTGAATTGCAAGGCATGACATCAGCTTTTAATGTGATATTTTCATACTTCGATTTGCCATCCATTTATTATAGCAATCAATCATTATATATCAACCATATATTTTTATTATTTATATTAATCATTTTTAACATGCGGTTTTTAATAAATCAATAAAGAGTCATCACTCTTTACTAATTAGTGTAATCAGTCAATCAGTTATAGGCTAACATTTAGGATTACACCACAAACCTTTTAATTTGAAAGAAAGCCCATTAATCCACCCTCTTGTATATGATATTGTGTTTAAATAGCCAACATGTAGTCATTATAATGTTCACAACCAATCATTATTGCTTATATGCAAATGTCATATTTATCGTATAGCAGTCATATAATTTTCTCTATACAATTTAATATCTTATATGTAATGCAATAATTTATGAAATGTAGGAAATTTATATATTATTCATTAACTTAAAAAATCATAACTATTAATTTATCTAGTGAAATTTAATAGTATAATCAAAATGCTCAGAATGATGATATCTATCATATATAGAAAGTTGCATGATAAAATTTTGATCAATCAATAGAAAATATATTTTTTATCGATTTGGGGGAAATTAAATTCATAAAATACAAAATCAATAAAAAAATATAATATTCGGGTTACCTACTTTGATTAAAAGAAATTTCAAAACAAAATTAACACACAAAAATGCTTTGAATAACCTTCTCTCTCCTCTATCTCTCCATTTCCACTCCTTTCTTCCCTGGCAAGGCAAGCAAGAATGGGGAAATGACCCACGGGAATGGCTTTAAGTGAAATGGATTAAGATATTTTATTATTTTAAAAATCATTATTTTAACCTAGCATCTTGGTGCTCAACTTGTTAGTGCTCGTTACCTAAGGCCTGGCGCCATAGTGAACACTCAAACCTTATTTTCTTGTAAAAATTTTGAGAGTTCAATGCCAGGGCTCCACCACCCCAATACCGTAGTGCTCTCAACATTGCTACACCATCAAGTACAACATGACAACATCACATCTATTTTTTATTTATTTTTTCAAATCAAGTCATTTTATAAAATTCATGTTATTACAACCACCCCCTCCCATGTTTACAGCTTAGATGTGTACCATTTTTAGTGTAAAGATTTGTCTCCCATATGTGGCATCATCTTATGCCCATCTCTCAGTGCATACCTATTAGAGGCTCAACCACTTGATATTATACTCATGTATGTGCAAGAAACTTCTCACCATACTTAGGGTTGTCAAATCGTATCCATGGGTCAAGTTCCGGTCTAACCCGACTTTGACCCATCAGTTTTTTACCCTACATTATTTGGATTTGGGTCACTTTTGCCAACTAGAACACGACTTGGTTCAAATTCGGATCAACATGTGTTTGTACAATACGATAGTGTAATTATTATCATACCGATTGATTTAATTTGGTCCAATAACTGTCGACACATGGATCGTAAAGTATGAAGAGGAGGTCATGCAGTATGATCATTGTTGAACTGCAATCTCCGACGTCTTACCTGCAGCTGTAAAATAAGCCAAGAACACTACATTGCAAGGTGAAGAAGAAAAATAGAGCAAGCAATTTTGGTTACTGTTTCATTGAGCACAATGCTATGGGTTACATAGTATATAAAGGAAAAGAGTCCTGAAAATAACATCATCGGTTGTGATCAAACCATTGCAATCCAATGGTGGTAAAATACTACCATGACTGTGCTCTGTACATGGAGAGGTTTAGTGGGCACATGAAGTGGTCAGAGTTGGTTATAAGACGGCTGGCTTATCACCTCCCCGCAAGCTAACATTTGCTTCAGAAATGTGTAGCTGATCTCGCAAGAACTGAAATCGAGGATAGATAAGGACTTGGTAAACAAGTCAACCAACTGATCCGTGGTATGAATGTATGAGACGGTGATGAGTTTGTTCTTAATACATTCACGCACAAAATGAAAATCGATTTCAATGTGTTTAGTTCGTGCTCGAAAAATTGGATTGTTGGCAAGAGCTATCGAGGAGATGTTATCACAAAGCAAGATAGTTGGTTCAGAACAGGGAATGCAAAATTCCTGTAAAAGACGACGCAACCAAATAATGTCGGTAGCAGCCGTGGCAAGTGCACGGTATTCGGCTTCGGTGGACGAACGAGCGACCGTCTTTTGTTTCTTGACTTGTCAAGATATTAGGTTTGAACCAAGAAAAGCATAATAGCCAGTAGTGGATTTTTTATCAGAGGGATCGCCAGCCCAATCGGAGTCTGAATAAGCATGTAATTGAAGCTTAGTAGAAGTAATTGGAATGCCAAAGGAAATAGTACCTTTAAGATACCGAAGAAGCCGTTTGAGAAGTTTAAGGTCAGGCTCTTGAGGACAATGCATATGTTGGCATAATCTATTAACAGTGAAGGTAATATCTGGACGAGTAACAGTTAAATATTGAATAGAGCCAACCAAATGGCAAAATTTATCTGAAGCTTCAGGAGATAGATCAATAGAAGGTGCAGCCGTCTCCATAGACAATTTTGTAGGAATTGGAGACGAAATGAGCTTGCAATCGGACATACCAGCACGTTGAAGAATCTGAGCAGCATAAGCAGCTTGAGACAAGTGAAGTCCTTGTGAAGTATGAGAAACTTGCATTCCGAGAAAATGCAAAATTTGGCCCAGATTTTTCATCTGAAATTTACTGGATAGTGCTGTTAATAAGCATATAATAGTTGCATTGTCATTGCCTGTAAGCAATATGTCATCGACATATACAAGTATGTAAAGGAGAACTGATTATTTGGTATAGATCAACAAGGAAGGATCGGCGGTACTGTGTTGAAAACCGAACTGCAGTAAGTAAGGGAGAAGGTTTCGAACCATTGGCGAGGAGACTGTTTTAAGCCATAGAGAGACTTGTGTAGAAGACACACATAATCAGGATGTAAGGAGTCTTTAAAACCAGGAGGTTGACTCATATAAACCGTCTCTTTAAGTTCTCCATGTAAAAAGGCATTGGACACATCAAGTTGTAAAATTTGCCATTGAAATGAGACTGCAACAGCAAGAAAAATGCGAATAGTGAGTAATTTGGCGACCAGACTGAAATTAAGAAAATAGTCTAAGCCAAATTGTTGTCGACAACCAAGTGCGACAAGGCGAGCTTTATACGGTGCAACCGAACCATTAGCATTGAACTTAGTCCGGTATATCCATTTACAACCCAATATGTTGTGTGAAGAATCTGGAGGAACCAATGTCCAAGTGGCTTGATGTTGAAGGGATGTAAATTCATCTGACATAGCTCGTCGCCAAGCTGAGTGCTTGACAGCTTCTGTATAAGATGTTGGATCAATAGGTGCAGTGTCGGTTTGCATACTAATAATATGTTTTGGTTTGAACTTGTCGGACTGAAACCAGGTAAGCATTGGTTGTGAAGAAATATTTGGAGGTGGAGCTTGAGGGAATTCAGGAGGTGAAGAAATGTTGGGAAGAGAACGTGAATTGTCTGTAGTAGATGAAACCTGTTGTGTGGTGGGTATTGGAATAGAATTCTGAGAAGTGAAATCAGTAGTTGAGAGAGTGTCGGGGGAAGAAATATTTGGAGAGGAATGTTGGATATGTATTGGAACAAACATGGATGGAGGAGTATGAATAACATTTGAAGTATCTGGAGTGACTGAGGAAATAGTTTGATTGGAGAAAGGAAAATGAAATTCGTAAAATTTGACGTGGCGTGAAATAAAGAATTTGTTTGATTCAATGTGAAAATAAACATATCCTTTAGTATGAGAGGGATAACC